CAAGAGCAGTGCTCAGCTTCACTGAAGAATAATTAATGAAATGTTAAGACATTAAGGAGACAAGATGAAAACAAAGTCACCTTTCTATGTTTATTATGTTCCTTGTCCTGTCCCCACAGTTTAGGTATCTCTGCAGATATGTTTCCTCTCCCTGAAAGCAGACCTCTATGATGATCTCCCTTTCCTAAATCATGTGGATTTTTAAACCTTTTGAACTCACCTTGGTGTTTGCTCCCAATCAGGTTTCAGAATCCCATCCAACTTTGATCACAATTAAATTTACAAAAGGAATATCCTGATGAGGAAAGACATAGAACAGCTGTGCTGGGGACAGCCTGAAACCTGTTGTTTTTGAGACTGTTACTCTGAAAAACCTGAGTAGATCCCTGAATTGGGATATAGTTCATGGCAAGCACCAATGTGTAAAAACTGATGGATCAGGAATACTTTACCCTTTTGACAGAGCGGCTCTATTGAGCTGCACGCCACAGTTTGAGAACCACTCTAACTAGCTGGAACCAAACACTGAATATTTACATAGATTAAACACATACATCTGGCAGTAATTCATATAAGTAAATCACAGATATAAGTCCCCTTTTTTGTCCAACTGAACACCAAATAGTTGTATTGATATTGGTCATTAGGGCTGTGCAAAGCTTCAGTCGCCGATTTGATTCGGAGGAGATTCAGCCCGATTCGGGGGCCGAATCTCTGAATCCAATTGAGAGGCCCATTAAAAGCTCCATATCAATTTGAAGCATCCAAATTGATTCAGAAAACATTTGGGGATTCAGAGATTCAGATCAGCCAGGGACAGGCAGGCACAGCCAGGCGGCTGCAGGTTCTCCCGCAGCTCCTCCAACTGTGCCTGCCTCTTCCCGGGCGAGGGGAGCTGCAGGAGAAGCCCTCATGGCTTCCCTGCTCGACCCCATCCGCCACCCGGCCCAGCCTCCCGGCACTTAAAAAAAAAGCCCCACACTTACCGGCTGCAGCAGTCACCCGGTGCCTGGCAGCACTCAGCCCCAGCGGCCCCAGCTCCCAGAGAGCATGCAGCGCCCTGTCAAGCCACACTGCACATGTGGGTGCCAGGCAGGAGTGTGGGGGGTAATCCCTGCTGCCCCCAATGCCCCGCGCTGCATGGGGGGGGCTCTGCCATGAGTGCCCAGAGGCCCTGATCGCCACTGCTGCAGCCAGTGAGTGTAGGGGCTTTTTTTTTTTTTTAAGTGCTGGGAGGCTAGGACCGAGCAGAGCAGCCATGGGGGCTTCTCCTGCAGCTCCCCCTGCCTGGGCAGAAGCAGGCACAGCTGGAGGAGCCATGGGAGAACCTGCAGCTGCCCAGCTGTGCCTGCCTCTCCCTGGCTGATCCAAATCACCGAACCTCTCCAAATCAGCGCCAAATCTTTTGAAGCCTATTCAGCCAAATCGAATGGGGACAGTGATTTGACTGACCGAACCGAATCACTGTCTTCCAAATCAGCTGAATCCAAATCAAATACTTCCCTACTCGCGCAGGCCTATTGGTCATATGCTGAGTCCAGATCCAAAGGATGAGTAACAGTGCAGAAATAGGCCCAGAGACAGCAGATGCTGATTCACTCTCATTAGTTGTATCACAGTAGAACACTAAGGCCCAAATCAGAATCAGGGCCACATAAATGTTAAGCATCACAAGTGCAATATAGGGTGATAGTGTCCCTTCTTTATTGCATATACTATCTAATGGGCAATTCATGAGTTCAGTATAATTCACAGAGGTTTGGCTTGGCAGAGGTAATACCCAGCTGATGTAATATTGCCCAGTGTCCACTGGCTACTGTTAGATATTCCCTTTGTTTTGTTTGTCTATTTACTACAAATAGATTAGTGCCAGCCTTGGACTAAGAGCACCTAGGAAACTCATGAGGTTGTAATCTCTTTTTTGCTTTCTATCATCTGTTCTCATTACAGATTTTGTGTTTTGAATCCATGCCTGTCCAGAACATAAATCCACTGACTCTAGCAGCTACTGTTGCAAATAAATGGTTTCAATTGTCTTCTCCTAAGGAGAGATTCTAAAATTTTACCAATTTTCCAGGAGAAAGAACATTTTTCCCTAGGTTCCTCTGACTTTAAACATCAAGTGGAAAAAAAAAAAAACATTTCAATTAAGAAAAAGCCAAAGTAGCAAACAGATCAGACACAAGATACAGGCAATCCTCAACTTAAGGCGTTTCGACTTACAGTGATTTGCACTTGTGGTGCTCTGCCATTTACACCTAAGTTATTACTTACGGCGCTGGATCCTCGCGCTTATGGCACTACAGAGAAATTTATAATGAGAAAAAGAGGGCGTCAAAACAAACATCCCTGGATCAGTTTCTCAAAAAGGCATCAAGTGGCCCTAAGTCTCCCCAAAATCTCCCCAAAGAAGCCCTTCTGAATTCCATGACCCTGATGAAGGTGTTCCTTCACCTTCTGATTAAATACAATTTTATGTGATTAGTTACTGTATTGCCCTGTTTAATCAATTTATATACAGTACACTTTAGAAAGCTTTGTACTGTACAGTGTATATCATTTTTAGTTGATTAAATAGTTAATTTAAATATGGTGTTTATGGTCATTTCTATAAAAAGTTGGGCATCAGGCCCTTGGTCAGGAACATAACCCCCTATTATAACATTGTTTCTATGGGAAAATCCGATTCGACCTACATCGTTTCGACTTATAGCACCTTTTCCAGGAACATAACCCGCCGTAAGTGCAAGGACTGCCTGTACTTAGCATCTGCATCTTGTGTGTACAACTTCCCTTTTTAAAATGATATACATGATGTTCATAGTATTTTAAGCTAAAGATTAGTTCTAGATATTTCAAAATGTTTACCTTGGAGTGCTTAAAACGTTAAGCTTGGTTTCAATGTGCAAGAATTTTAAAGTGATAAAACAGGCCAAATTCAAATTAGAATAAAAGCCTATTAGAGTCCCTAGAGTTACATCTGCTTATACTACATATGATTACAGCCCTAAGGAGTGCAAAAAGGAAAAACATTTTAATAGTGTCACGGAACTGAGAGATGACAAGAAAGTTTGCAACAGATAAGGAGGCACAGTGGCTGCATCTACATAAGGAGCCAACTGTGCAGTTGTTACTGCACAGTCCCATCACTGCACAGGTATTTTTAGATGCTACTGCACAGTAGCAAAGAGCTGTGCAGTAGCTCATTACTACTGTGCAGTAGCGTCACCATCACGGTTTGGGCCTGGCAACATTACAGTGCTGTAGCAATGAGCTCATTGCTACTGTGCCATAGCATCTCATGTAAACGCACCCAGTGTGTATCTGAGATCTAATACGTGCAGGTGTAAGATGTTATGACCACATAAAATCAGTCTGACATGAAGAATGACATTTGATGGGTGGGATCTGGTGGGCCAGAGTGAAGAGGGATTTCTTACAGATGTCTGGACTGTAAGAAAAGTTCTGTATGCAAATTCCATTAATCACAAAGTGCACTGAAATCATGCATTAAACTATTTAATCAGACAGGTACATTCAGCAATATTTATGCATCCCCCTATCTTTACCAAAAACAGGTGGCTGTTTTTAAAAAAGATAGGGTTCAGGAACGGCAGGAGTGAAAACTGGTGTGTTTATCACATACAAAAGGTTGAGTTCTTGAGAGCACTGACTTCTAGAAGGCAACCTATTAACCCACAGTTGCCTTCTATTCACATCTAGATTATGCCTCATTGGTACAGTTACCCTGTAGCTTCCCTTATTATCCAAACCTATACTTTTTCTGCGCGTTTCTGTTGTCCTCAAATCTTTTCCAGAAAAGAGGTATATGGACAGAAACTAGTCAGCACTTGCTGATAAACCTCACAGCATCTCTGGCCTGGTCTTCACTAGGTAAAATAAAAAGTACTTCAACATGTGCTAACTAACTTGTGCAAAATTACTAGAATAAACAATGCAGCTGTCATTTTAACACATCATCTGGTAAAACCCTCATGGGTTTTTCAACATGTGTAAAAATTACAACTTTCTTACCTAGACCCAGGTTTAAGACAGATTCGCTAACACAGGTTGAAACCCACCTTTTTTCTTCTTAGTAGGGATATGGCCTCTTTAAGCAGATTAAAAAACACAGGGTCCTGCCTCACCCTTTTGGATGGGACAGTTCACCCGAAAAAAGGATGGTTCACCTGGATTCAACACATCCAAGTCTCCCCTGGTTTAACATATCGCTGAATCTTATAATTGCATTAAAAAAAATAAACACCTCTTCCAATATACTAGTGATAAGTATTGCTCTGATCCTTGCAGCAAACTTAAATGAACCTTGTAAAATTTTCAATTACACAGGCAGCAAAACCATCAATTTACTCTTCATTTACATTTACATCACAGCAATAATTGCCAGCAATACCCTTCCCTTAAGGAAATGATTCAACAATTGAATTAGAAAGCTTCATGAATCAATGGATGAGCCACATGAATACAGATTCCTCTCCTGCTTTACTGTTTCTCTTTTGGTCCTGTAAGGTAAAGCCAGTCTCATGAGCAGAGTTTGTTCTTCATCTTCCCTTTTATGCCCTCACTGACCATGGCTTAAAGGTCCCTGGTTCA